GAAGGAGATTCTAGCGAAAATCTCAATCAGCTAGAACCTTCCTTCATATATACCCAAATATTCAAGGAAATACTCCTTGATATGGAACATGGTCAAGAAGCCATTAAAGACTTCGTTACATATTGCCAAGAACAATACAAGGGCAATACCAAAGGACTCGAGTTAATCAATGAATTTCAACGTAATTATCATCCAACGCTGGCATTATGGTGGTATACACGTCCATGCTTCACGTTCAACATGCTCAATCGGGCCTTACGAACATTGGATGGCGACATTATCATCAGAATGGGATTTTTCCTGTGTGATGTTCATCGACAAATTGAAGACTTACACAGCCAACAGGTCAGTCAATATCATGGGAAGTCCTTTTTAGTTTATAGGGGCCAAGGATTATTGACAAGCGACTTCGATAAACTCGAAAAAAACAAAGGTGGTCTCATATCTTTCAACAACTTTTTATCCACCAGTACAAAACGAGATGTTTCCCTCGGTTTCGCCAGAGATGCCTTAGGAACAAACGATATGGTTGGTATCCTTTTTCAAATGACAATAGATCCTACTGTCTCATCGACTCCTTTCGCCTCCATCCAGGAGGTGAGTTATTACAAGGACGAAGAGGAAATTCTCTTCTCCATGCACACCGTTTTTCGAATTGATGAAATTCGACAAGTTGACAAAAAATGTCCACTTTACCAAGTGGACCTTAAACTTACGTCGGATGATGATCAACAACTTCGTCGATTAACCGATCGAATACGACAAGAAACATCGGGCAGCACCGGGTGGCATAGAATGGGTCAATTGCTGCTCAAAATTGGTCAATTTGACAAGGCCGAAGAATTATATACAGCACTACTAGAACAGGCATCCAACGACAGTGCTAAAGCATATATCTATAACCAGCTTGGAGAGATGAAAAATGGCAAAGGGCAATATACAGAAGCAGCTTCATTTTATGAAATGTCTCTCGAAATTTATCGAAGAACTCTCCCGGAAGATCACCTTTCATTAGCTAATATCTACAACAACATCGGTCTCGCATATTACAACATGGGTGACTACTCGAAAGCAGTGGAATTCCACAAAAAAACAATTAAAATAAAAGAAAAAACTTTGTCTCCCGATGACCCGGATTTAGCTCTGTCCTACAACAACATCGGTGGAGTGTATAACAACATGGGTGACTACTCGAAAGCACTTGAATTTTACGAAAAATCATTTAAAATAAGAGAAAAAGCTCTGCCTCCGAATCATCCCGATTTGGCTCAATCCTACAACAACATCGGTGGAGTGTATAACTACATGGGTGACTATTCGAAAGCACTTGAATTTTACGAAAAAGCACATAAAATTCTCGAAAAAGCTCTGCCTTCGAATCATCCCGATTTGGCTATTTTCTACAACAACATCGGTCAAGTGTATAACAGCATGGGTGACTACTCGAAAGCACTTGAATTTTACGAAAAATCATATAAAATCTACGAAAAAACTCTGCCTTCGAATCATCCTCATTTGGCTACTTCCTACAACAGCATCGGTCAAGTGTATAACAACATGGGTGACTACTCGAAAGCACTTGAATTTTACGAAAAATCATTTAAAATAAGAGAAAAAGCTCTGCCTCCGAATCATCCCGATTTGGCTCAATCCTACAACAACATCGGTGGAGTGTATAACTACATGGGTGACTATTCGAAAGCACTTGAATTTTACGAAAAAGCACATAAAATCGACGAAAAAGCTCTGCCTCCGAATCATCCCGAGTTGGCTACTTCCTACAACAACATCGGTGCAGTGTATAAGAACATGGGCGACTACTCAAAAGCACTTGAATTTTACGAAAAATCACATAAAATCTTCGAAAAAGCTCTGCCTTCGAATCATCCCTCATTGGCTACTTCCTACAGCAACATCGGTGAAGTGTATAACGACATGGGTGACTACTCGAAAGCACTTGAATTTTACGAAAAATCACATAAAATAAGAGAAAAAGCTCTGCCTTCGAATCATCCCCATTTGGCTACTTCCTACAACAACATCGGTGCAGTGTATAAGAACATGGGTGACTACTCGAAAACACTTGAATTTTACGAAAAATCACATAAAATAAGAGAAAAAGCTCTACCTTCGAATCATCCTGATTTGGCTAATTCCTACAACAACATCGGTCTTGTGTATGGCAACATGGGTGACTACTCGAAAGCACTCTCATTCTTAGAAAAGGCACTTTCTATCTTGCAAAAATCACTTCCACCTAACCATCCTTATATTATAATGGTCACAAACTCAATTAACAATGTAAAAAAGAAAATGTAACTGTAATTTTTTCTTTTCGCTTGTTCAATAAATTTATTCACATTGCTATTCATTTCGATTTTTCTCGGTTCATTTTGGCTTATTCACGCGCGCGCAACAAGAGAGAGATCCCTTGTCAATGCCATAGGTACCACAGGCGGACCACGCCGGACTGGTAGGGCAATGGCCGAAGGTATACCGTATTAACGATAGGGACTAGCGACACATAGAGGCCTTCCCTAATACTACACTGCTTCGCTATGGCAAAGTTTCTCTACCTATTGAATCAGACAACGTAGTTCTCTGACCCACACTAATAACTCAACTCATCTCATCTCAAAAGTACTCATACTCATACTCATAATAACTGATAGTATTTATTTTTTCTCAAAATAACTTATTTCAACTCAACTGAACTGAATATGTAAAAAAAATTTTTTTTCTTACTTCTCAATATTGTATAGTATCGAACCTCATCTAAAAAAAAAAGAAAAAAGTATTATTAAATATATAATGAATTTATTATTTACGTCATATAGAATTTAATAATATAATTATCATTGTAAATAATATAATAGTAATAATAAATAATAATCCCGGGTATATAAATACATTGTAATGCATTATAATAATACAACTCGAGTGTATACTGTTTCATAATGATGTATTCATGTTTTTATATACTCTGAGATTAATTGACCGATGTTCAAAATTTTGATTGATTTTTTATCAATCATTCCACTTCTGTTTTAATTGATTTGATGATTTTTTTTTCTCGTCTGACATACATCTATATCATGTCATCGTCGACGAAAAAACATTTTCATGTTACATATATATAGAGGGTGTTATCTTTCTCCTTCACATTGCTCATCTTCAAATGAGAATACAAGACAAGAGAATTCGTCAACTCGAATAACTTAAAAAATAGGTGTGTTTTATTTTTACAAAATGTGATCTTTATTTTAAGGATGTCTGAAATATGTACATGTCTAAATTATATAGAGTAAGATAGTGTTTGTCTCTCTACTGAACAATATATTTTTTATTGGACGTCTTCATTAGCTTCAATATATATGTATTTGAGAAATTTTTGCGTGAACTTTTTTCACGTATATTTTTTCGACTTTTCTTTAAAGAAATGTTAGTTGTGCAAAAATTGAAATTTCTACACATTTAAGATTGATGAATTTCTTTCATTTCAAGTGATTTTCATCGTTATTGAATTTTATTTTCATTGGAATATAGTGCTTCTCAGGATTTATCTAATTTTTGTCCAAAATGTATCAACTTGTACATAACAAACTATGAATGATGTGTATTCACTTATATTGTCATATTCATCGATATAGTAATGAATATATAAACAGCTATGAATTCATCACAAAACAGTCTCCTGATGATAGACTATATCATATTTGTACTCTTTAAATTTTCAAGATTTATCGATGAAAACAAAATTCATCATTATAAACATTTTGAACAAACAACTGTAATGTAAAAGTAATACTATTTCTAGATTTTTATACGAAACTGTATATCAGACAAAGTATTAGTACAAAAAAGAGGCATTTTTCGTTTAGATATAATGAATGTTATTGCCTTTATATGTTCCACTTTCTTAATTGAATTATTAATGAGTATTTTGACATTGTAGAAATGAAAGTGGTAACTGTTTTTAGTTACCTGACAAAGTACTCTCTATGAAGTAATGTCATTTAATTAGAATGAAATGAAGTATTTTCTAAGAGAGACAATAATGATAGCAGTAGAGCATTTAATGAATGTCTTCATGCATTTCTCATTATATTTCTCTTGTATAAAAATTATTCGACAGATACAACAATTTCATTTTGTTTTCAGTGTAGATATTTAATTTTTATAAAAATTCGATGTTGGTTTTTTATTAGAAAATGATTAAACTATAGTTGCTTGAGAAATTGTATATTTTGTTTTTATTCAGATCTCTCATCATACAGTTGTTGGTGTATTGTGTATTTCGATTATAGGTGTAGAGTGAGGTGTTACACTAAAAAAAAAAAGAAAACATGCTGAATAACTTATTGGAATATTTTCTCGTTAAGAATAAATTAATGAATCACATTTTTTTTCTCATTAGGCATATATACATGGTTTTTTGTTATGCTTAAAAGTATAAGTGAATCTATGAGACATAGAAGAGATTTAAAGAAAATTGCAAACCTCTTTCAAGTAAATGATATCGTCCTTATAATTTTTATGAGAAATTTCTACTAATAAAAAGACTTTTAATAAAAGATTTTTTGTAAAGTTAAACAACGAGTCTTTTGGTAAAATTCACAAATAGACGAATTCTTTATCAGTATTTCAGTGAATGTTGTTTTAATATTAACCTCTCTATATATCTTGTTGAGTCTGACACTAAACTGTTGTTCTTCAACATGAATATAGACAATTTATTAGTAACAAAAATATCAGTTTGAATAAAAGATTCTAGTTGTTTTGCTTTTTACTTATGAAATAGGAACAATGTTTGGCCTTTTTACTGTTAGAAAAGAATAATTAAGAAAGTTCGTTTACAGGAAAAAATACATTTCGATTAGAGATTTAAAACTTGTAATTTTTGTATAATTATGACCTGATAAATACTGTTGAAAGTTGTGCGTGTAAATTTTTTTTTTGAGAATGAATCGAATGAATGATTTATTGCTTTTGCTCGAAAGCAATCTTTTTACTTTTCTTCTTCATCTATATTTTGTTTTATTTAATATTTAATTGTAATACAGAAGATAACAGAGGGGTGTGAGTCTGATGAGCTCTTCTTGTTAGCTCATACCTAAATGCTTTAAGGATTCAGTAAGTGCGTTCATTGAATATTAAAAGATTTATCTCATTGAATTAGTTTTCTTTATTAGAATTTTTTTTTCTTTTACTTTTCTACTAATATTTTTGTTTATCAATGAAAATTTTGATAAAAATTAATAGACGAATCAATTGGATACATTAAATTTGTATCAATTAATATTATACAGTTTTTACCATTTATATAAGCTGAATCAATAGTAAAAAAATAGAGTTGATGATTACGAAGATGATATAAAAATTCAATTATGTATTATAGAAAGTTTTTACGGAGGAATAATTTTAATTTAGACATATATATGTACTGATCTGTCATAAACTTCTCTTTTTGTATAGCTTATATTGTATACATTTTTCTCTGACGAAAATCACACAACTCATTTAATAATAAAATTCAATACTGTTATTTTTTTGTTTTTTTTGCTACTGTATAACAATCATATTTTGATTTACTTAATCTAACATATGAACACAAATGATGTTGTTGAACATTAAAATCAAGTTCAACATGCTCTTGAAATTAGTGTTTACGGAGATTATTGATATTGAAGTGAGGAACATATTTATACGTTCAATCTCACTAACTCATTATTCCTAAAAACACTCAACATTTCCATGGATCACATATTAATGTCATAAGTGTAGAGTATTTGTGATATAAGTGCTAGAATAATGCATCAAAGAAATGAGATTCCTTCGAAACACTTCGAAAAAGACAAATTTCCAAAGGATAAATCAATTATAAAAATAGCTAAGAATTCATTCGAAAGGTTTTTGTTCCATAAAAGTCAAAAATAAATATATTGATAACTATTCTTATATGACATTGAAAATAATTCATCATTTTACATCATTGAAAAAACTATTTTTTGTTTCATCGAAATAGTTTCGTTATTGATCTGAATTAGATTTACTTCAATAAAAAATATAGTAATGTGTTGAAACTTTTTCAAATTCATATTACATATAGTTAGTTTCTGAAGAAATACCGATCAATTCCATCTTAATTTTCTACAATGAGAAAATATTTTTCGATTTTATCTGCTAGTATTATTTATTGAAACATTTTCGAATAGAAACAATAGGATATTCTAGATTGTTTTTTCTCTGTAATCGATTTAGACACGTTAAGTATATCAAATAGACCACAAAATGAGACAGAATACAAGTAGTAATGAGTAAATTATGAGCTAATGTGTAGATTGTTGGTGTCTATGAAAACAAGCTTACCTACGCGCACATCTTCATTATTCTGTTGTCTTAATTTTTGGTTTGAAGGAAATTGACATACTAAACTTGCATTATAATCTTTACTGAGTAGAGTTCAAGAACAAATGACAACATCAATGCAATTTTAATCATACAACTTTCAGCACCACTCAAAACTCCTTTACAAATATAACTCTAAAAACTCTATCTAGATGTGATATTCATTCTCTCTGAGTTTTGTTTCATTTTAAGTGCTTCACTTTTTGTTAAACTAGTCGTTATCTTTATTGTCAACGGAAAGCAAAATAAAAAGCAATTCATTACAAAAAAACTTAATAAACAATGTCATGCCTTGCTTTCTTTTTATGATATCTAAGAGTTTCTCTTGTTCTCACCTTATATTACCATAAGTGTTTGTATACATAGAAACAAGTCAATAGACATCATTGTTTGAAAATGTATGATGAATTTCTGTATTAGTAGGTTAATTTTTTAGTCAATTGAGAGTCTAATATCGTGCGAAGGCGATGAAAGCATAGATAAAATGTTACTATTGATGTTCTTCTACTATTCTTGAGGTGTGGTTGTGGGTGTGGGTGTAAGTGAAGAGAAGATAAACACCCACACCCACACCCTTATTTAATAGGACTTGAGGAACTATTGATACCCCGTATATAAAAGAATTTGTGGACCTATAAATATCCCCATAGAACACTTAAGGAGTCATAGATATCCAGCCTGTGATGTCCCTAAGGAATCCTGAAGATGGTATGTGTAACTTTTCATGATGATCAACTCATAGAGCTAAACTATTTGGAAAGGTTCAGTTCGTTGAAAAGAACTGTTCAAAATAGTTCAGTTTGTGGTAGTGAGCGTTTTGAACAGTTCATCAGTTCTGAACTAGAGCTGAACTAGTTTTAGGTAATAAAGATCGAACACAAGTTTTTTTCTAACGTTATATTGATTTTATTTAAAATTTCATTTAATATTAATATTTAAATAAATAAAATCTAATTGATCTATTCTATCTCTCGTCGTTTTTTTTTCTTCTCTCTTCTATAATTAAATTTAACCTCAATATTCGAACTCTATTAGCATGAAAAAAAAACACATAAGATATACTTTATGGAAGAGAGAAAAAAAACATAAGATTATTTTCTTTCCTGCGGGTATCGTTACCATATAATATAAGCATTTTTTCGATCCTCCCTATTATCATTGAATCTCTAAACATTTGATTTGATCATATCATCTAAAGATTAGTTCTATCCTAATCGAGATTTTAGAGAATAATTTGAAAATATTCTCAATTGCTATATATATATGTTGACCAAGGCAATTCGATGATTCGTTTCGAGTAGTTTAAATAGATGTTAGATATCTCTAGACAATAAATAGATATCATCATTTTGGAATTTTATCCTATATAATATATCCGATAAACTGATTTTATTTTATTTTCGAGATAAAATGTTGACTATAGAATACGACTGAATCCTAATCGAAAAATGTCGAGATTGATAGTTGTCTCATCTTTGAAGACCGAAACGAGATTTTACGTATATTATATCTTATTAGAATATTTCAATAGAAAAAAAAATTTTCAATGAAAATAAAAGATAATTCGACGTAAAATCGAAAGTTTTATTTCAATGTAAATGGTTAATTGTTTAAAAAAGTAAAAGGTTATCTCGATAAATAGTTAACTATTAGAAATAAAATATCTCTATTAGAAAATGATTTGTTTATATTATATTTAAATATTTGGTAAACAATTGATTATCGAAGAGTTCTCTGTTCTTTTTCGTCGTTTCGTTATATAATTGTTATATTGAAAAAAAAGAGTGTCCATCATATCATTTAATAGAAAGAATTCTTTTATTGAGTGATTAACAAATGAGAATTATTTGTCTGATGATAATCGATCAAATTCCGAACAACGATCAAGACGATCAAGTCTTGCAGCATATCCTTGGATGAGATTTTCATTTTTTAATTTAAATAAAAAGACAACAACTTATTCTATATAAGTTTTTTTTCAATATATAAATATATTTATTTTAATTAACATTTTAAATAATCGATTTATATAATAAGATGTTTCTCTTGTTTTTGTTATTATAATTGTAATTCTATTGAATATGGTCATATAATAATATTAATAGATTTATTTATATTAGCGATTCAAAAATAAAATAATATATAGAATTGATATATTCTATTTAAAAATAAAAATAAATCTCATTTATTATCTTTATTTATGTTTGGTTTATTTCGATTTAATCAAATAGTTTTTTAATATTGAAATGAGGGAAAAAAACACTGATAAATTATATTCGAAAGATATAATATATTCAAAGAATTAATTTCAATAGAAATCGGAATAACTCGATCGATTTAACATATATTATACGAATGGAAGATATTTATTGAAATAAATCAAACTCTTAAATAAATAAATGAAATCTTATATTAATATAATAAATCATTTCAATAGTTAGACTAATATTGATAGAAATAAGATTTTATTCAATTTATTTATTTTAATTTAATTGAGTTAACCCTTTGCTAGTGTTTTTTTTTGTTAAAAATTTTTCTATAATTTTATAATGAAATTATTTTATGTTATTATTGTCGAGTTAAGATAATAATTATATATTATTGTTTTTTCATTAAAAAAACTCTTTATTTAGAAATAAAATATCATTTGTTTTGAAGAATATTCAAATTGTTAAAACGAATTTTTCAAATTTAACCAAACATTTTATGTTATTTAAATAGATTTAAAGAATAGTTTTTATATTCGTAGAATTAAAAAAACCGAACTTTCATATTAAATCTTTAGTGTTATTTTTTCAAAGCTAATTTAAATAGTTAACTATCTCCTTGCATTTGGTCAAAAATTCGTTATTTATTATATAAATCGATTTCTAGATGAATCTATATTGATTATCTTATTATATATAAAGATTGACAACGAAAATTATTTATTATTTTAATAATCTATCCTAGAAACATTATATTGACCTGCACAGTTATGAAACAATTTATTTCTCTCTACTGAACGATCGCTAACAAATGATCAATATTTCATCCGATTGGAACTTCTTTTGTCGAAAATCTGTTTTTAACTGCTAGATAGAAACGTTCTAAAAGACGAAATAATGATAAGATAGTTCGAATTATCGATTAAAAATTTCTAAGGAAATAAATTTAATTGATTCTTATAAAAATGTTTTGAAAATAAATTTATTTGAATAGGATATTTATCGATATGGTTAAACAAAGAAATTCGAAAATAAAAAATGAAAATATTTTGTTTTTTTATATTTATTAATGTAGAAGTGATGATGTACCTGATTAATACAATCGAGTTCGTTATATTCCAGATTCTTGTAAAGTATTGTCTGATCTTTGGAAAATAAATAAAGATTTTGTAAGTTAAATAAAAGTATTGATAAGGATGTATCAAAATCATTGAAAGAATTTCATTGGAGTGATGTTGCACGTTGTTATCGTTCTCCATATAGAATAGATGGTGCTTTGTTGATTTTAAATCAAACAATTGATGATTTAATTCAAATATATGATTTTATTGATTCCAAAAAGAAAAGAATGGCTTGAACAATTTTTAAAAATTATTGAACAAGCTAGAGATAAACAAGTATTTATTTATTGATTTATTTTTAATATACGTCAACTATTCGTCAAAGAATGACTAAACTAAGAGATAATTATGAAAAAGCTCAACAAAAATTAGAAACAGCTGATGCCAATTTAAAAATGTTTCTGTTTTTATTATTTAAAATAAAAAATGTTCTAATTATTTTGTTAAGATTTCATGCACGATCTGATCGTTTAATATTAGCAAATTTTGATGAACGTTTACGTGAATTAGAAGATATTCGTTGTGAATATGAACAATCTCGAACATTATCACGTGATATATATGCAACTGAAACATATAAAACAGCTAGTGAAGAATATTCAATTACAATTAAACTTTTTTTATCAATATTTATATGAAGGAAATCAATTTTATAATAATATATCTCGATATTTATCATCAAAAATGCCTGAAATTGAACAAAGATTAGAAAATGATGATTTAATTCCATTATTTAGTTATGATCTTATAAAACATTGTTCAAAAAGAAAAGATACATTAATTGCTTATCCAATTAAAATATGTATTCATCTATTAGAGAATAGTTTAAATGAAGAAGATCTTTTTTGTATTGCACCATTACAAGGAAAACAAAAAAACATTGTTGCTGAACTTAATTTACAAACAATTGATAGGGAAACAACATTAAATGAACTTAATTATGATCAACATGTTCTTGCAAGTACACTTAAACAATATTGAAGAGAGCTTCCTGATTGCTTACTTACAACTGCATTTTTACCACAATAGAATAAGACTATTTTACTCAGGTTAACACTTTTTTCTCTTTTTCTTATTCAATTATCCTAAACAAATTTATTTTCATTTATTGACCTCTAGCAAGGAACTCCTTCTGCACTTTCGATGCTCTCTTTCTGTCCCGTGAGACGTGGCAAGGAGTTAGCTCTGAAGTCTTTATTTATTTACATAAATGAAAACTTGTTTATTTTAATTAATTATTTTGATGAGTTTATGGAACCTTCCTTCATTTTATAAATTCATATTAATTATATCATGCTTGGGTATAAATTGTTGAGGATTATTTAGAAAAGGTAAGAGAGCATCATAATGATTTCCGATGAAATAAATACATAAACTCAATTTGTTCATATCTGATTTGCACCCAATATATTTAAGATGACCACCTGCGGTTCCTTTATCGAATCGATCGATCAATTTTTGTAGACTGATATCGGCTGGAATATAGTGTCCATTTTTTGGATTACTCTCGAATCTGACATATGAATAAATAGGCTGACATAAGGCTATAGAAAGGGCTTGAATTTGAACTTCTCCATCCCATTTTACATTTGTGGCAGTTCTTTTCATCTGTTCTTCAAATGAATAGTTCAATGCTTTGCAAATTCTTTTAAAATGATCACTATTATTAATCATTGCATTGACTGTGCTAGTCTTTCAGAACCAATATTAAGTATCGAAAGAGAATTATATAAACAATTGCCATCTTCAGTCGTGTGGGTTCTCGAGTAGACTGAGTCAAATGCTTGAAGAGAATATTCTGTTTTCTGTCTTAGTTTAACAGATTGATCTTTTTTATGTACAGTTAAATATGGTGATCTTTCAAGTGAATGATTAATTATTTGAGCTTGACTTAAAATTTGATTTATGATCACAGTATTGTTATTAATATCATGTACAGAAAGAAAGCGATCAAGAATCTTTCTTGAGTTTAAATCAATGCTTTTATGACTTTCGAAAGAAAATTCGTCGTCAATTTTCATCATGGCAGATTGATAATTAATTTTAAGATCTTCGAGATTAAAAGACATATCTGTACGAATATGTTTGTTTTCAGCAACATGAGATTCAGCCACAATTGGATGTTTTCTTATCCATATGGGTTTATGAAAACTTGTGAGACTTTCAAAATAGTCAGATTTGAAGTCATTCAAATTAGTGAAGCAATAATCAATCTGTGCTTTAGCATTAGTTGAGTTTTTACCTAATTTATTATTCAAAGTAAGCCCGAATGATTCCATGTATTCAACGAATTTGTAATTGGTTTTAATCTTCAAATCTATATTAAAATCACTCGCAACAATTATATTTTCACAAAATGGTTTTGAAACCGTTATAACTTCATTAATATTTTGTTTTAAGACATCGAATGACGCATTTGGTGAACTGTAAACGGAAATAATACAAATATCATCAATTTTTATTGAGGAATATTCAATATGATTTTATCCTAAATATTCACATCTTTCGATAATATTTTCATAGTTCAAGTCATTTTTTAAATAAGTTATTTGGCCATATGATTTTCACATATGATTACAATCACGTCTTTGAACTATCTTGAAACCTTCGATTTCCAAAGAGTCACCAGGTTTTGTCCATTTTTCCACAAGACTTATCATAAAAGCAGACAAAAATGTTTTGTCAGATTTGATGTCCAGAAAATGTTTATTCAATGATCGCACATTATGAAATATCACAAAATCTTTCCCTTTGAGATTCTTCAGGAAATTCAAGTGCAAATTTGATCATTCTTTCGGTTCTCATGGTTTTAAACATCATCGCCACTGTATCATTACTGGCAGGTGATTTTGTTAGAACAAGATCGTCAATTAAATATAAACCACTTGCTTTTGTTGCGCGACTGCACACGACGTTTTTTATCATCACTTACCTAATGGTCAACATGTAATCAGCAATAATGACCAAGACATTCTTTCACATGCACTTACTACTATGTATAAACATGTCAATAAATTGCCACTCATCGATATGTTTGGCATAGTTCTACGAAATGCTATTGAACGTGTTATTAAACTTGAACAAACTGAAATTCGTGATCTTTTCACAACAACTATTAAACAGCTCAATTCAACTGGAGGCTTTGACAATCGAACACATAAACTCATAACCAATTTTCTACAATCGTCTGACAAATTTGCTATTTTTGAAAAGGCCAAACACCAATTGAATGCTAATGTTCGTCAATTGCTTGGTCCAGTTATTGAACGTGAAAACCAATTTAAGAATGATATTGATCATTTAACTAACAATCATCAAGTGATTGAAGATTATCGTCGAATTTTCGATGCTTTTAATATTACCTTTGGTACGGCTTCAACACAGCGAGCTGATTTACAAAGAATCAGTGAACAGCAATCGAATTCAGGCGGCAGATTGTTGAAAAGAACAATGAACAATTTTATTAGTGAAGTAAGCAAGCAAGAACATGGAATAAAAAGTACGAAAGCAATGAAGCTACTCCAAGAGTATCTCAATCAAAATATCATACGACCCTATCTAGAGAATAAATGCGAACGACAAATGGATGAAAATGATATCAAACTTGCCGATAAATTTACTGAAGCATTCGTCTATGTACAGAAACAATAAGGAAAACTTCAACAGCAGTGAAAATAATTACGGTTTTTGTTTGTTAATAACAAAAAAGAGAATGTATCATTGTATTCTATTCTTATATTAGAAAAATAACAGAGGAAAACAATGCATTGTTGATTTCGAGATAGTTACATCGATTACTCCTAACAATTCTGCTGGCTTTCCAAGCATTATGAATAGATCGTTCTTCAGATTAAGATTCTTATTCATTCAATGAAGAATACCAAAATTAGTATATTCTAGAAGAACGATCGACTCACAGAATAGCAAGGACAAATGATCCTCGAGTGATAATGAATGTGTACGAATAATAATTGTCACGATGCACTTCGATCAATCTAAAAATCACTTCACGTGACAAATGATTTGAGGATATGAGTATTCATGTGAACTTGAAGACGATCGTATATTCTGAAAAACTATCATTCGCTTTGCTGGCTATAGACTTCAACAGAGTGTGGTTGCGTGTCCTAGTGAAAATAATAGTGTCACATTTACGTTAGTGAATGTTAATTTAGTCGAAATTAGTCTAACTACAAAAAAAAGAAAAAATGTTAATACTAATTCCAAACTTTTCCTAAAAACTATAGTTCCAATGATGACTTGAGTACATTTTTCTTGTTGACTATGAAATTAACGAAAATATATGTCGAACATAAATCAAAATTAATCATACCATTTGAAACTATTCTTCTGATTGGCTTGACTCTACTAAAGTATTCAATATTATGCTTTAGATGTTTCTTTTCTCGAGTACTTGAATCTTTGATTAATATTGAGGGTTCTAACAATGGTTGAGGAATAGAAAATGAATGTTTGATAGGACACAGTTTTCTAGTCGGCGGAATCTGATGGTTGCCTAGGAGCTCGAAATCAGAACAAAACAAACAAAAAATATATATTTCAAATTTTCGAGCGTTCATCTCACCGATTGTATGTTTTTAAAAGTCTGCTTGAATGACTTTGATATTCTCAAATGGCTTCAATACAGTCTAACAAAAATTTTAAGTCTAGATCAAACAGAAAAAGTAATTATATATCGACTATTCTTCGACTTTTACTATACTGTCTGAGACATATCTTTCCTGAAATCTTTAATATTTTCGACAAAAAGACACAATTGAGAAACGTACAATAGAATGATGTAAATAAGATAAAATAAATAATATAGATAAATGAATAGAAGAAGATTTTTATAGGGGGAAAATACGTTCATCTACCGGTAAAGTGTAACATAAAGATCGTCTTCTTCAATGGCTCATTTGAGTTTTTGATGAAAATCAAAAGGTATTCAAGCGCAGATTTTTGCAATTTTCTCTTTTTTTCATGCGTTGATGTCAAATAAGTAATCTAATCATCTTGAAAACTAGTATTTAGATATTGTATTAATAGTAATATGAGCCTTCATAAATTACAAGTAACGCATCGGCCGTCGGGCCTCATCTGACACAATCCTGGAAGCAGAGAATAGGGACATTTCTATATTGTATAGTACTTTCAAAACCTAATTGTAACAGAGATCAGTTAATATTTTTTGGATTCTTTTTATCGCAGTCAACCACTCGAAGAAAACATCAAACATTCCCTTGGAGACTTCCTGTGAAAACGTTTTTTATTTGAAGGTACTAAAGCAGCTCCTGGTCGGTTGTTGGTGCTCTTCGGGAGTGCCACTCCCGACTCGTCGCTTCTGTATACCCTGGTGCCATTCTTCTGTAAGTCACCTACGTAAGCACTGTATGAAGTTCCTCGACTCAAATTCTGCCCAAGAAATAGTATTTGAATCGTGAACAGAATATGCCTGCTTTCTGTTTAAAAACCCTCTACACACAGGATAACCTTAGATACAAAAAAAAACCTTGTTATGTTGATTTTGCATCGGCAACCATCTGTGATTAAGTATCATTCTGAAAAAAAACAGATTTTTATGACTTTATAGTTGTCACAATGTCCTATTTTACAAATGATCAGTTTTCATTTCTTTAGCATATTATTTTCTGAATAATTTAATAAAAAACAAATATACAACAAGTTTAGTATGGATGAACCTCTCTTTCAGAAAAGCAACAATGAAATAATAATCTCATGAATTGAAGAAAAGAGAAGATCAGATATGATTGTCCACAAGAATCTTACACAAATATCCAATTTATAGAACAAAAATTGAAGATCAATCTTCTTGGTCGAAAAATATATGAAAATGTGTTTCTTCGTGATATATTAGGCGGAGCACTCACATATGCCCCTCATTCGCTAGAGCATTTCCGAGGTGTGATTGGAGAAAAGATCAACATCCACACTCTACACCCACACCCACATCTTCATAAAGCATAGAACGTAAATACGTGTGATGTTACAATTATTTCGTAAGTCTTCTTCTTCACGTATTTATCGGGTCCATCATAAATACTTATCGAATGATCATATATTTGAAATTACCAATGATAATGATAAGATAGTTTATACTGTTCGTTCAAATTCATTATCCTTGACCAACAAAACAGTCTCTTTGTGAAGCATCAACTGGCAAAGAATTAATTAAAATACGTGAGCAAGTCCTTCATCTTCATTTAGTGTATGATATTTTAGTAGCAAGTGTCAACGATAATAAAGATTCACATTTGGGAACAGTTAAAAGAACTTATAATCAACACCATTTTCAAACGGCACTTACAATAGAGTCGGTCTATGATGTACACAAAGTAGAATCTATCGAAGGCGTATTCGGTCATGAATTTAAAATAACAACCAGTGGCAAAACTGTACCCTATGTAACTAAGAATACCAAATTTGTGCAAGAAAAAGAATTGTATCTTGTTGAGATCAATGATGATGATGATGGTGGCAATGTATTTTTATTGGCACTTGTGATTGTAGTTTGATATGCGCAACAATAGCGCCATATGTAAGAAATAGATATCTGACGTTCATCGAAAACAAAAACTCTTTCTCATATATTACTAACCTATTGTTCATCTGACTGATACTCTTTTTGTCGAAAAGATGCAAAAGAAAATTACATCCAATCAAAAATGATTAGGTAACTAGTCTATTCCAACGACTATCTAAATCAAAACTATAAACAACCTAATGTCCATACATAGATTTGATGAAAAGAAATCTACTGAGGATTTTTTTTCGTTGAAACATCGATTCATTGAAAACATAATATTCTTAATCAATCAAATGGGAATCGTAGCCTCGTATCTGATCTATCTAAACTTTTCATTGCTAGTACTGTTGGAACAAATGAGAATGATTGAACTCGTTTGTGGATTTGTTGATATTTGATAATTTTGTTTTCAAACAATGTTGTTTTAGGTCAAAATCAATCTTGTGTTGTTTTCTTATTTGATGCTCAACTGAATCAATCGATGTTCATTCCATCATCAATCCAAAAAAGACAGTTTTTCTTGGGCTCAATTCAACTTATTGAGAACGCTGATATGATCACACTAAGAGAAAGATATTTGAATGATTTTGAATGACGTAGATCGATAAATAGGAAAAATAAATCGATTAAGACTTGCTTATAGTTCCGTTCTTCTACAAGGTAAAAGACCGTACAACAAGACACAATAGATAACGCTACAAAGTATCTTTCAAAAAAATGACTCATATTGAGCAGTGGAATCAGCTATCGATAGCTGATTGAATGTTGTAATACTTATGTTTTTCGTTTGAAGACTTTTATTCTGTAAAAATTCTTTATTTCTAAAAGTTTATTGCTCATACAATAGCTTGAAATTCTTCGAATTTAATTTGATGGATCAAGCAAAAACAATATTAGTTATATGTATTATCAAAAAAAAGCTTCAGAAAATACGGTTGATTAGTAATTAATGAATGCTTCGTGGAATTTGGAGTTAGCTAATTAAGAAAAAGCATTGAAGGAATGTGTCTTTTTAGCTTGATAAAATATCATATTTGATAAAAGTTCCACCGGTGGTTATATTCAGTGGAGCTTGAAATTGAAGAATAACTTGATAGTTAGAATTCGATTGTTGAATAATGTTTCCATTGCTGATCGGAATTTCAATTTGTTGACCATTTAACACTCGATAGACATTTTTAATTGGTCCTCTGAGAGATTCGGCATGGAGCGAAATTGTATATGGTCGACGCTGTTCTGTGAATGGTGTTTCAATGATCAAAGTCATGATTTTAGTTGGATAGGATCAGAAAAGTTGAACTGAATCAGGTGATTGAGCGAGTTCAGTATGGGCCAAATTAAGCACTTGCGTTTCGGCATCATTTTCAAAAGCCACTGTTGCTTTACCCGACTCGCTTATATTAAAATAACGCATATTCAACGAAATTTGATCACACATTGTTCTGTTTCGGTTACTAACTCAAAAGGAAAAGATGAATATCACTGCAAACAATAGTTCATCTATTTCCTGCACTCTGATAAATGACTATTCGAAACATTCTTCCTTTTTCATTCGAGAAGCCCTGTTAAATAGTTACAAGAGATAATAACAACTGTATCACAAGAGACAGTGAAATGAGTGATATCACATAAGAGCAATATGCCTATCGACACGTTAAACTTGTCAAAAGGAAGATCTATAAAGGACGATAACAAAAATGTTTGAATACCTTATACGAGCAAGTAGGAAAAATAAATAATATTTAGTCAAATTGCTTCAATAATTAATTTTTTCTAATCATGTATCGAATATTTTCAGAGAAAAACCAATATAAACATATACTATCATGTACGAGTATATGAGTTTAACTATGGCGATGTTCTAGTTCGTCATCACAGAAATAAGTGATATTTGAGGAAGTTTGTCGCTAATGTTAGTCACCCTAGTGAATTTTTTAATAATCTTTTATATGATAATCATTATTTTCTACGTAATCACTTTCTTTCGGGAACATTGAAGTAGATTAGAGGCAAAAAGAAAGAAGAATGTCTTGATTGAAGTCGCCTATTGCTGCGTCTCGATTTTGCTCACCGCTACATACATTCAAATATCTGCTTGAGAGAAAGAAAAGATTCTCAAAAAAAAAACCCGACTATAAATTATGACAGTCGATAGTTTTACGATAAAAATAAATATGCAGCGTAAAACATAATTACACATAATCTGCGCGAAATCTTTTGTTTTTGAGATGAAAAACTCATGTTTTCAATAATTTTTCTATGTGCACTGATATAAGTCAGTATGATTTCTTCTTCAATAGAAGTTATTATGGTTTTTCTTTTATTTTTTGCTTGCTGTGAGAACGAAACAAGAAAAATAACTCATTTTCAAGGATACTTCTTATTTGTGTACTACCACGCTAACGTCAGGAAGCTCTCAAAATGTGAAACAAAATAACAATGAATGAAAGCAGTATATACTACATACATTCATACATTTAATTAATATTAGCATTAAGAATAATGATATATCATATACGATTTCGTGGATTTGTCAGATACTCATCTTTTATTAACAACTAAATCTCGCTCTCTCTTTCAAGGCAAATAAAAGAACTTTCTTTTCTATTTGTGTGAACGACATGAGTATAGGTGGTCGAAACAATGACTACATGCATGAATTCTTCAGAAATTTAAACTTACTGAAAGAAAAACGAAGAACAAGTAAAAAAATTGAATATTTTAATCAACAAACCTAAATCTTTTTGTTTTATTGCACTTTTTACTTCTAATTATAATAATAGAAACTTTTAAGTTAATCTGTGTTATTTTCTGTTTTTATAAACCTATTTGATTGTACATTTGTCTATGAGACTGAAGCGCGAAAACGAAGCACACATTCCTCGAATAAATAAAAGTAAAATAATGAGGGTGTGGGTGTGAGTGTGAATGCACCCATATACCCACACCCATACCCTCAAAACCAAAATAAAAAAAAAACAAATGATTTTTAAAAATGTAGAAAATAAATATTTTTTGATGAAAAAGGTATGTGAGACTTCACATTTGTTTGAAGACGTTCTGAACCACGCCGTGTTTTTTCCCTTTGATTTATATATCAAAAGATGCAGTTTTTGATAGGCTTTCAGAATATGATCTTATTTTTCTGGGACGCTTAAAAAATAGTGTCATTTTGGTCTAAATACCTAGAACGGTTTCGTTTGATCATTTGCCGTGAGTTTTTGTATTTTGATTTTTTTTCTAGATGAAAGTAGAGCCGAATTTTAACAAAAATATAAGGTACACAAGAAAATCCAAGAAAATCAAAAACAAATCCGTCAATTTTAACAGGTTTCATGAGGGTGGTTAACTTGTGTCCCTTATTTCTTCACAATTGCATTGACATTTGATCCTAATACTTTTGGCTTTTCTATGTACACATTATGACCTTTCAAATAAAATATCAAAGATCAAAATTTAAATTTTAGCTCCGGACAGCCCCTGTGTATTTGGGCGATATTCTGGCGAAGTCTCTCTTAAGTAAATACTTATAATGCATTAGTAGTTTTATGCGATGGACATGTACTTAACATAAGACAATTTAGTCCCCATATAGCCATACGTATTGACTTTCTTTGTGCAATACTATTCATTAATAATAAGATCCATTTATTAACTTTAGCTAAATAATGTGCACTAATTAAAGCACAAAAAGAACGGCAGAAACTGTATATGCAACTATTTGAGGATATAAATGTTGTATTGATGCAGCAAATTCCAAAATCATTTTATTCATTAAACAATCTGACAAATCAATATATGCAAGTAACAATGGTAATGTTGATGGTTGTTTAATATGTTCACATAATTCTTCAACAGGTTCAATAAGAATACTATCTGATGATGATATTATTGATAACCGATCAATTATTTCTTGTTCTTTATTAACATGTTCATTTATAAATAATTCACTATATTCGTTTGTTGTTTTTGTCCAAGTAACATACCAGATTTTTATAAACCCTAACTTATTAATGACATCATTTAATGTACGAAAATATTCATCATATAGGTCATATAAATTTAATAATTGTTCTGATAATATAAACAAATCAGAAATACATATAAACGAACGTATTAATTCATATTACATAAATTATTTGAATTTGTTGTTAACCAACGAACATATAGTCCAATTAGAACTTGTAATTATTCTATTGAATATTTAATATTAACAAAAGAAACAAATTCTACTTCTCAATTATTAAAACATATATGAACATCCATTAACAGGCAATGATGATGTATTGTTACTATGAATTGATGTTAATATAGTATTACATGAAAGTTGTTCATAGGATAATAAATCATGTGTACTTAATCTTTCAAAATTTTTAAATGATGTTGAACATATTGGCATATATTAACTATCAATATTTGTAAAATTCCTTTTGTTAAATTATTTGTTGTTTGCACTTTTTTTATGATTAGATTGAGTGAATTTATTGAAATTATATCTATAAAGATATGGTTTATATTTAATATTTTTCTCGTTAAATAATCAATACAATGAAGACCATTAACTAATAAGTAAATAATTGATTTATTTGTTTATTTCCTACAATAACATCATATCGTTGACAAAGATATTTCGATGTTAATAATATAGTTTCCAGCTAAGAAATCATTTTGTTTTGAAATATATTTATATAAATGATTTTCGACATAAATATAATAAAGCGTAACAAAATTATGTGTATCGCCTGTTGAAAATTCATATATGAATCCGACATGATTTTACATTGTGTACAAATAAATCAATATTGAACCTATATTAGAACACAATAAAAGGCTTTTTATATAAATTGTATCAAATATTGTGTCAACATTATTGGAACTTATTTCATTTTATAAGAAGCGTTGTGTTGGTAAAGAAAAAAACATAGATCATTGATTTTTTTTGGAATTAATGTTTCTGTTGATCCACACCATATTGATAGGATATTAATACCAAGGATAAGATAATGAGGCATTTATAACCATACGAAATTCTAGGAAGACAATAGCCTTAGGAACAGAAGGAATAATCGGTGTTCTGTTTCAAGTGACTATCAATACAAGTTGATAAGAAAAATTCATTGTATTATATTGAGCATTTCATTTAATTTTTGTTGTTGACGACTCTCTCAAAAATGAATAACCAGTAAATAATTGAAAAATTCAATTATAAGAATTAGTTTTAAAATTTTTTATATTTCATCGATCAGTGAAAAATATAGTTGATATTAAAAATAATCAATTTTATTCGAAATATCGATATGAATCGCTGAAGATTTGTCTCTATTATAATGCAAGTCAATATTATTAAAATAAACACAAAAACAGAGAAACTTTGAATAAAATAATGAAATGAAAAAAGAAAAGCATTAATTGAACATCAATTTCTTGATGATCGCAAAATAAAGTAGATAAAGAAATTCATTCAAGATGATTATTTCTAATTTATTATTTTCCATATCGTATTCAATAATAATTAGTGCTCTTCGATAGATAAGAGTCCGATGAACACCTATGAAAGACTATCTAAAGATACGAATTGTTTTGACGACACAAATCTTCAAATATACCAAGCTATAGCAGATATTGATAAATAAATCTTTTTTTTGAAATTTTATTTCGCGATGTTTTATCACTGTTCTTTACAATTAAAGACTATAGATAACAAATTCTAAATGATTATTAACATTTTAACGTTGTAAAAAAGCTCAGATCACATAATATAATCAAAATAGTATTGCATATTTTTAAACATTAAACATATTTTTACACGTAGATGGATTACCTATATGAAATAACTATGGGTAACTTTCACAGTTTTCAATATACCAGACACTAATTTTCACAGATCTTTACATATTCAAACTAAAGTTATTAATTGGCACACATAATCATTACCATTTTTTGATACAGACAGATGTATATGTATATATACTATCTAGATACAGTTGTTTGATAAACCCAAACATAAAATTTTGTATGGGTCTTTGAACCCTGAAACTCTTATTGTCACTGTTGAGTCTCATTAAAATTTATGTGATTGTCTTTGAAATAAACTATTTGTAGATTGAAACTAAACAATTACAATTAATCTTGATGAAGTGTATTATATGAAGATTGGTTTGATTGAAGAAAGATTACTCTTCATTCACGAATAATATTTTATGACATTTCCATAATATTTAAGTATAGAATGCCTCACTAATATCTAGAATGTAACTCATTAAAATCTTCTAATATTCAGAATTATTGGTTTAGAAGTAATGATATAAATATTTCATTCAGTGATACTTTATATCTATATCTACTATCACTTGCGAGTTCACCATTTTTTGTTTTATCGATCTCTGAATAATTCTTAATTTCATCGAATAGGTGCATATGTCCATTGAAGTATAAAGTCTGTTGATGATGTTCAACTAAAAATGCAAGTTTATCAACTTTGTGATCATCAGTCTAGCCTCAAAGCAAAGTGTAGATGCTAGAGATAAATAATTTTTCTTTTGTAAGTCTAAGTTTATGAAATCACGTTGTTCCTTGTTTTTAGCAAACTATTCTATATTAAGATTTTCTTCAATTTTTCAAGTTAAACAATTTCAAAGCTAAGAAAGCTTTCGAAAAAAAACTCTATTTGCATTAAGACAAGTTTTTAAATATTCTTCCCTAACATAATAAATGTCAGCTCTAGAGAACCAGTTCTTGAATGTTCGTTCGATTTTATGGTCTTTTTTAATATTATGCTAAGCATATACAACCTATAGATAGATTTTCATGATGTTAATTGCATATGAATCAATGATCATGTAGAAAAATGAAATGAATATAATGCAATTGAGTCTAAAAGGAGAGTAAAAAAAATGTAATATTACGGTTCTTCAATAGTCTTTTATTTACATATTTTATCGTCATATTTTTATTCATCGTACAGGCACGAACGAAAGAAAAAAAACAACGACAACAATAATAAAAATAATTTTGTGACTTTTTCTTTGTTGATTGATCTTTTCTGAATCGGTTGCATCTTCAGCAGAAACTCAAAAGAATCATGAACTCAACCTCCCAGCTCACGCTTTTTATTTGAGTAAGACAGTTTTGCATTTGAAAAAAGGTATCAAGCATACAATACAATAACAATGGTTTTTTTCTCAACTTTAAATCAAGAAAAATAGTCTTCATGTCTTCTATATTCCTACCGATTTTAATCAAAAAAATACCAGCAACTCTTTTTATTATTTCTTGATTGTATACGAGCATGTATGACTCTGTTTTACAATCACACAAACAAAACTAGTTATCGATCAGTACATCTTTTGTAGTATGTTTTTCATGAATATACATTTATTATACACATAGTTCTATTGATATTTGTTTCGATAGGAGAAGTTTTCCTGTTGCCATTGTAACATATGTTAAAATTGTGTGAACAAACACAAATTGAATATTATTTCTTTATGAATCTTAGAAATTAATGAAAGAGAGACAATTATTGGAAAATAAGAAAACGAAATATCATTTTATTATATTGTTTTTTTCGAATGAATATGAATAAAAGAATTACTTTAATTAGATGTCAGTGATTTAGTATATTCGGCAACTAGATATCGTTGTTTGACTTTTGTCTATATAAAAAACTAAAATGATGTTTATTCTTGTTTGATTCACATTATTAGCATGTCAATCGTATGCATAATGAAACAAAAAGCACACAGACGATATCCTTGGTTTTCTTCGTTCTTCTCAACAAGAGAAAAAAGCTTCGTTTTGAAAGAATTGAAATATACAACATATGAGAAAAGATATCAATAAAATGAAATTTATGCCATGCTTCACATGAAACGTAAATGCAAATGGTAAAAAGTAATCACACCACAAATGACGTTGATGGATTTTTTCCCTTTAATTTGTTTTTTGACAAGCATACCTTTGATTGGTGCTAGGCATAAGTTGTTATCGAGTATTGACGAAAAAATGAAATATTAACATTTCACGTCGTAGAAAAATCTAGAAAAAAAACAAAATGCATCGAATATATAAATACGAAAGGTAAATTCTGCTCATACACATTATTCACTAATACATTGAAAATGAATCGACAACGACGACAACGTATGACTGAAAACTATTTAGTCATATGGATTGATGCGAATATCAATATGAAAAATAAAGATTGTCAACACACACTGTCGCAATTACGAGGTGTTGTTAATGAAGTCAAATTGTGCATTACAGCAGACGAATGCATCAGATTACTCAATGAAAACAAGGAGGAGACATCTTTCGTTATCTCCTCTGGTAAACTTGGACAAGATCTTGTACCAACTATTCATGGAATGCAACATCTTGATACTATATATATTTTTTCTCAAAATAAGGAACTTCATGAAGAATGGGCTAAATATTGGACAAAAATTAAAGGTATCAACGAATCAATCGAGTCTATATGCAAAATGTTGCAAATAGCTATCAAACAATATAATCAAAACAATATAATGGTTAGTATAATTAGTGCTGGTGCAGATGGTTCTAGGCAAAATCTTAATCAGCTAGAACCATCATTCATGTATACTCAGATATTTAAGGAAATACTCCTTGATATGAAACATGATGAACAAGCTATCAAAGATTTGGTCGCCTTCTGCCAAGAACAATACCAAGGCAATACTAACGAACTCAAGTTAATCGACGAATTTCAACGTAATTATCATCCAACATTGGCGTTATGGTGGTATACACGCCAATGTTTCACATTCAAAATGCTCAATCGTGCATTACGAACACTCGACGGTGGCCTAATCATTAGAATGGGATTTTATCTATGTGATGTTCATCGACAAATTGAAGATTTACACAGCCAACAGGTCAGTCAATATCATGGGGAGCCCTTTTTAGTTTATAGGGGCCAAGGCTTATCGACAGACGATTCCGAGAAACTCGCAAAAAACAAAGGTGGTCTCATATCATTTAATAATTTTTTATCCACCAGTACAGATCGTGATGTCTCCTTCGCTTTTGCCGAAAGCACCTTAGGAGCAACCGATATGGTCGGTATTCTCTTTCAAATGACTATCGATCCCACGGTGTCATCAACACCCTTTGCCTCCATCAAGGAGGTTAGTGATTTCGTGCAAGAAGAGGAAATTCTCTTCTCGATGCACACCGTCTTTCGAATTGGTGAAGTTCGAAAAATTGACAAGGAAAGTCCACTTTATCAAGTGGACCTTAAACTTACGTCTGATGATGACCAACAACTTCGTCAATTAACCGACTGTATACGAGAAGAATCTTCAGGTAGCACTGGATGGTATCGAATGGGTAAATTGCTGCTCAAAATTGGTCAATTTGACAAGGCCGAAGAATTATATA